GATGATGGTTGTCTTTGATGTTGAGTATTATTGGTAGTAGTAATATTAACATTAACTGTTGGAATTTCTGTTTGTTGCGATTGTTGTACCTTCCTTCCAGGTTGTGATGGTAAGGTTTTTTGTAGATGTTGTGGTTGTTGTTGTGGCAGTGGTGGTAGTATTTGTTGTTGTGGTTGTTGTAGTTGTGTTGTTTATACAGTATTATTTGTAATGATGGTGGTCCTGTAAGTGTATGTGCAAACCCTGAATCATTGGGTCACAAACTATTTTTAATAAATAAATAAAGTGATCAAAATTATTACATAATTATAACAATAAAAAATTAATGTGATAATAAGTTAAACTCACCAACAGCCGTTGCTTTTACACCAATAGCTGTTGCTTTTACAATTGATACAGGCTCTTTATTTACAATAATAAATAAATATGACCAATCAATCAATCAATCATATTATATCAATTATTTGATTAATTATTTACTTTTTTGAAAAAAATACCTGTTGATGATGTTGTTGACAAGTTTGAGTTTGATCATTATAATTTTGATTATTCATCCCATTACTCTGTAGCAATAAATCATATACCACCACCACTATAACAATGAACTTCAATTATAATACAGATCCTAATGCAGTCGTCCCTCATTCTACACAAAATCTTGCCATGACAATATAGAAGTTTGCCTAACTACTAAGTTTCTGCAATAGTTTCGGCTTTCATGCAGGTAAAATGCCGAAACTACATAATTGGTAAAATTTCATCAATTATAGTAATAGATCATATTTTGATTTTATCACGGGTAAATTTTTTGTTGCACGTAAATTTATAAATGCGCACATTCAAATAATAAAAAATAATAAATGTTTAACATCACAATTGTATACATCAATTTTATTTCAATAATAATGATTTCTCCATGTTGTCCATCAAAAAAACTGTTGTTACAACCCATTTTTTTCATGTGGATCACTTGAAAAGGAAACCATTAGTTTTATGAATGATGGATGTAATTAAACATTGCAGTCCATGGTTTTCTCTGATTAGTTGATGCATTATGCATCAACATTAATATTACCAATTACAATCAACCAATAACAATAGAAGTCGAAATTTGTATCATGAGGATATCTAATTTTCCATAATTCATTAATACTAAGATTATAATATTTATATAATTTTGGACCTTTATAATTTCACAAGTAGATATTAAATTTATTCTTATTATTCTTATTTATTTTCCTATTTTTAACAATGCATATCCATTTTTATTATTTTGAAGGAAATTAATTAACTCCAAAGGAAAATTTTCATCACATTTACATTATTAAAGCATATTCATTCCTTTAAATTTTAACTTCATTGTTTGAGGTTTTGGTTTTTTGGGAGAGGTTTATGTACTCAAAAAAGTCATCATTTTCTTTATCATCATTGCTCGTTTTTCTTTTCCTTAAACAATCAATGAATGCCAGATCACTAATTGATTTGACTACATAAATTTTCCAGATTTTTAATAATTCAAAGCTGGATAAATGGAAGATAATAAATACAAGTTGTATTAATTATGATGATAATTATATGAAAAATATCTTTGCAGTCAAAACTTCATTAATGATGATAATTAAATTGTCTACTTCAGGGTTGTGGTCCACTGATGGTCTATTGGTGTAACATCCTAGCCATATTTAGTAATTTATTAATGGCAATGGACCAGTCCAAAGTCCAATAGTTCTCAATGGACCAGTCAATTTGCCAACCCTGTCTACTTCATTAAGCATAGCAGGGATATTGCTAATAATAGATCTTTGAAGACAACATGTGTAACCAGATGGGATATCCATAACCAAAACTTGTATATGTTGTGCTTTTAATATAATGGAAGAATAAATAAGTATGAAAAAAAAATTGAGAAAATCATACTGTTGCAAAGGTATTTTACCTGAATGCAAGAATACTACAATTTCAATTTGTCAAGATTTTATAAAATTTAAGCATTTGATTTTAATTTTTTGAAGAAGCATATCCCTCATGATCTTGGCATCTTTAATCCACCATCCATCTGAAAGGTATTTAGTTCCGTTTTCTCCTAACCAACACTTCCTTCTTCACTCAGTGCAATTTCATTGGTTGACCCCAACTCACAACCAACTCCATCACATTTTCTGCCAAAGAACATGCCAGCCTTCCTTCCAGCATTTTTTCTTTTGCTTAATGCATGTGAATAACCTTCACCTCTGAAAAGCAAATTTTATATATAAAGGTTTGGATAAATGAATATTTTGGAAATAAAATAAAATGTTGCTCACCTAATAAATTCCATTTTATCAATATCTATAAAACAAGCATCTACAATAATGCTCCATATGTTTGTGAGGAACCAACCTTCATTTTTATTTATTTAACTAGAGTGATGATGAGTGGCAGTTAAGGATGGTATATAACATGTTATAAATGATTTGAGGGGTACAGTACACACTGTCTATAGAGAGAAACTGGTATAGAAAATTGTATTACATTAAGTCATATGGAATAAAAATATTTTTATTTAACATTTAAAAAACAGTAATATAGATTATTTTGTTGAATTGAATTCTATTTTTTTGATTTTCTTTTTGTCATTTTTTAACTGTTTCAATTCCTCATTTGTAAATTCCTTAAACTGTTGTTCAAACAAAAAAGTTTACTTTTTCAATAGCCAATAAAGCATCTTGACTTGAAATAGGAGATGTCTCTTTGATGTCTTCTTCATCCTGATTTTCTTCATTAAAATTTGACATAGAAATTATTTTTTCTTCATTCAGCAAATCATCATCAACAATGTTTTTTTCCATTTCACCAATACTTTTAGTTCATTACATCATACCCTATGTCATTTATTTCAAATAATTGTTTAATTTTTTTTGGATTTTTATAGACAACATTTTTGTATTTTTTTATTTTGCGATTACGGGTAATGGTAATTTTTTATTAATATTAATTATAATTTAGATTTGGGGAGATCGCATTTTATTTCAGATCACGTGAATCCGTTACAGGCAGTGTTGATTTATATGTAAGTCATATGAAGTGATTTTCAGATACAATCCGTTATATGTAATAAAAAGTTTAATTAATAACATCCGTTATAGAAAGAGATTTCAAATAGCAAAAAACCAGGACCAAACTTTAATCTGTTATAGAAAGATCCATAGACTGTATATACCATGGTATATTCCACTAATATGTAATAATATAACAATTTTGGTTTGAATATTTATTTATAAAAAATACTAATTGCATAATAAACTTATGTTATACATCTTTATAGAATTCTTGATTGTTATTACTATCTTCTAAATTAATCAATTCATCAAGATCATTATCATCATCATAATTTTCACCATCATAATTATAGTCATTATAATTGAAAACCAAGTCATTGTCAATTTCTTCATTTTCAAATGCTTCCCAAAATAGTGGTTTTGGTAAAGTAACCATGAAATCCAACCATCACTTGTTATACAGACATATTTTGATTTTTCAATTTGATTATTATTATTTTCAGTAATTTCATTATATTTATCATTTAACAATTTGATAATGAGTGCTTTTCTAAATGGTAATTCATAAGCAGGATGATTTTTTTTACAAAAATTGATAAAATACTGATTTTCTACAATTGGTTTCTTGCTTCATTATAAATAATCAATAGAATAGAGCCAAGAAAAAACCAATTCAAAAATAAATTAAGCAAACTTACTGGTGATAAAAAATATTCACATGAAATTGAAAATCTATGGATGAATTTCAAACAGTTATTTGATAAAAAAAGATTGGGTTAAATCCCGATTTTTCCTTTAATGAAATGGCCATTGAAATTTGTGAATTACTTGAAGAGGGGAAGGGAATTGCTGCTTCTACAATAAAAAACTTCTATCAACAAAAAACTAGCCCTAGAAAGAAAAACAATAGAAGCAATTCAACACTGGATTGACAAAGAAAAGAAGAAAGAAGTGGAGAGTGAAGTTGACGAAGATAATAAAAACAATGAAGATATAAATATTAGTAATAATAATATTATTGATAATAATAGCAGTAGTAATAGTGAAAGTTGAATTTTTGTCAGAGTGCCCAAAGAATAGGTAAAACTCACAATGGCTTTGATCCAAGTATTTTCCTCCCATGCAAGTGCTCTGACAATTCTTTAACTTATATTATTATAAATATCTATGTATCTTTCTATTATTAGTTGAATAAAAATAAAAATAATTTTTTTTTGTTGTAAATAATTCCAAATCATGTGCCCACTAATTTATCATTGGCCCAAATTATTTATAGAAACAGTTAAATTGTAACAATTACGATCTAAATCAATAAAAAAAAAATTTTTTTTTATAAATTAATTTTTAGAAATATTTTTTTAACAAAATGGCAAGTATCGATGAAATTAAAGAACAATTAAACATTGTACTTAAAGAACACAAAGAAGCAAAGGACAAGTTGAAGGAATTCAAAGATGGGGAAGACGGGCAGTGGTTGAAAGAGTTGAAGAGAAAGATGAGAAGAAATGAGCTTAATGAAGAAGACAAGGAGAAGGCAAGACTGGAGGAGGAAAAGAAGGAGTTGACAAAGAAGGTGGAAGATAGGTTGAAGCAGGTGGAGAAGTTGCAGGATGCACTACTAAAATTTGGAGGAGGGGAAGGTAATGAACAAAATGTGTAAAAAAAAAAAAAATTGTTTTTCGTTCATTCCATTTCGTTTTATTTGTTTATTTGCTTGTATGATCATTTGGTATAT